AAAAAGATAGCTTAGATAAAGAGAACACAGCATCAAATCTGAAAATTCATTGACAAGGAGGCTAGCATATTATGAGGAGCTCTAAATTGTTAAATGCAATGGGTGGTTGAGTTTTTCGAAAAAGACCTCGAGATGTGTTATCATGATTGTTCGATTGTTCATTTTTAGGCATTTGTTTCCCCATACCTATCTTTGTAAATCTTTCATGGCCAAGGTCTACCAGCATTTTTGTTAATAAAAGACATTTTACTTTATTTTTTGTGTGTCTCTTCTGTTGACTATTTTTTAACCATTCTTATTTTTTTCTCCTTAATACCTTACAATAGAATAAATGTGTGAATGCATTCTTACTTTTTTTTAGTTTAAAATAATGATTGATAAATAAATAATAGCATTAAATATTTCTACACTACATTTGAAAGGTCAATAGTGATAAAGGCAAAATTAAGATAATCAGTTCCTGATAAAGACATTGAATTTGGAAAGAATTTCTTGTAGAAAGAATGTGAGAATTAAATGAAAAAGATGATCGAGAGTTACGTTGACTTGGTTTTTAAAGAATAAAAGGTTTGAGAAAAGAGCTTGAGAAACTTGAGTACAAAACTGAATGGGAATTAATTAGCATGCATTGAATTTCGCATGCATTGCATTTCGCATAGCATATACCGCATTTATGAAAGTATAGTGCATAAATTTAAAAAGTAGGGGTACTTCAGAATCCCACAGATGTAAAGACTTTTTCGATGTAAAAGTTTTAAATTTGAGAAAAAGCTTGTGAGGTAAGATTCTAATCCTTAAAAGAGGATATCTCTCAGTATCAGGGTTGATTTGTAAGACCCTTAGGCATAATCTCTTAAAATTTCTTCAAACACCATCTTTGACTCCTTTAGACATGATTGTCAATGAGCAATTTATTTTTCCAAAGTTCTGTTGCTTTTATTTAGAGGAGCCATTTATTTTCTCAAAGTTCTGTGGCCTCTGTTTAGAAGAGCTTTGTTTATGTTTTTCAAAGTCGTTGAACCTTTACTTAGAGGAGCTTTGTTTATTTTTTAAAAGTTGTTGAGCCTTTGTTTAGAGGAGCTTTGTTTATGTTTTCCAAAGTCATTGAGCTTCTGATTAGAGGAGCTTTGTTTATGTTTTCCAAAGTCATTGAGCCTCTAATTAGAGGAGCTTTGTTTATGTTTTCTAAAGTCGTTGAGCCTCTGTTCAGAAAAGCTTGTTTATTTTTCAAAAGTTGTTGAGCCTCTGCTTAGAGGAGCTCTATTTATGTTTTCAAAAGTCATTGAGCCTCTGCTTAAAGGAGCTTTGTTTATTTTTCAAAAGTCGTTGAGCCTCTGTTTAGAGGAGTTTTGTTTATTTTCCAAGAATTGTGAACCTCTCCTTAGGGGTGTTTCGAGTGTCCTTTAAAAAAAATGAATGTATCAGTATAAGTGGGGTGTTTACATCTTTGCACAATCTTATTGCATAAAAAATGCACAAAGAAAGGCAATTGTAGACACCCAATCTATCCTAGGTTTATTTTTGTTTAATTAAAAAATAAAAATAAAAAAATAAAAAAGTAGATGAATTGGTGTAAAATTGGGCTAAAGAGTTTGGATTGAATTGGGAGAGGTTGGATGAGACTAAAAGTCCAAAGAAGTTGGGATTCCCATTCGACTTTGGATTCTGTCCTATAAATACGATCCTAACCAAGCTTGCTAGGAGACACAGAGAAACACGAGACAAAAGAAAATAGAAGCAAAAAAGGGTTTTGGTTAGAAGCAATTTTAGGAATCTGTGGGAATTTTTCAAAATTTTTTTGATAATTTTTTTCTTAAAAAATCTCTAAAAATTCAGATTTCGGTGAATTTTTCGATCAGATTCAAGTTTTTCGATGACTTTTTCAGCGAAAAACCCAGTTTCTAACGATAAAACCTAGAAATCGACAAGAATTTTGCTAGAGTTCTTGCTAACTTAGAGAGAGAAATAAAGGAAAAGAAGAAAGATAAAGAGTGCGAAGAAGCAGTCTGAGAAAACGAGAAATTTTTCATCTTTTATACCCAGGCGAAACGATGCCGTTTTGGGACATTGAAAGTGGGTAGGATCCGCGTGTCACCCGAAATCCAACCCAACTCGTAGCGCACAGACCCGTCAACCTGTTTTATTCAACCTCTGTTGAGCCGTTGAGTCGAGCCATTCCAGCCATATTTATCTCTGGAGCCATGTCCTTGTTAAGTCGAGTTAAGCCGTTCCAAGGTTTTTTTTTTTAAATTTATTTATTTATTTATTATTATTATTATTATTTGGTATTCCTTAATTTTATATTTTATATTTTTAATTTTCCTAAGATAATAATTCTCAAAAAATATTTTTGAAGAAAAGTTGAAAGTATCAATTTTTCTTAAAAATAAAATTTTTAAAATAAAAATTTTTAAAAGCATTTTGGGAGAAAGTTGAAAGTATCAATTTCTCTTAAAAATAAAAAGATTTCTAAAAAATGTTTTTAGGAAAAAGTTGAAAGTATCAATTTTTTTTAAAAATAAAATTTTTAAAAAATATTTTAGGAAAAAGTTGAAAGTATAAATTTTTCTAAAAGATATTTTTGAGAAAAAGTTGAAAGTATCAATTTTTCTTAAAATAAAAACTCCTAAATGCTTTAAGAAAAAGTTGAAAGTATTAATTTTTCTTGTACAAAAACAAATGAGTTTTTTTTTAAATGAAAAGAAAATGATTTATATCAAAAGTTGAATCATTATTCCTTATTTAATATTAGAAAATATATTAACTCCTTTTATATTAGAAAATGATTTATATCAAAAGTTGAATCATCAACAGCTAAAACACACATACTAATTGGATACCAATCATTGTTGCCATCTTCACCATTAGAACCTCCCATTCTCTTTTTCTCCATCATTGATAATTAAAATAAACGACTGAAACAACTCATTAGAAAAAAACAATACCTAAGTAGCCATATAGCCAAAATTTTCAATCTTTTCAAGTTTATCCATTGTTTTTAAAACCCTAAAACAAAACACAAATAACTAAAACCTTATAAAAATCCAGATAACCAAAACTTTAAAATAACTACCGTCATCCCCATGTAAACCATCTTTTATCACCACAAAAAATTTTCATATTTTACCTTAAAAAATCACAATCAAAACAAAATAAATAAATAAATAAAATTTTAGCTTCATCCTCCAGAAAAGAAAGTAAAACAAAGCATAAAAAAAAAACCAAAAAAGAAAGAAAAGGTTTCGGGTTTGGCTTGTTCCATAGGGTTTTTGGACTCAAAAATTAGGTGAAAGGAAGGTTAAGGGTAGAGGAGAAACAAACTAAGATGTGGTTCGGTTTGGAGTGATGAAGTTTACATTTTGAGTTTGAAATCACAGGATTAAATCTTAGATCTAGGCTTTCCAAGCATTTAAAAAAAAAAAAACTAATTAGAAAAGTGAAAAAAAAAAAAGAAAAAAAATCAAGGAAGGTCTTTTGAAGCATTTCTAGCGTCAATGAACAACGGTCCACATAGTGGATATGGATCAAAAACTAGATTTTTTGTGTTCTGGATGATTGTGGTATTGTAGAGAGAAAAGGAAAAGAGAATTGGGAAGAGAGAAGAATAAAAGCAAAAAATGAAAAAAATTGACTTTTGTACACAGTTAGCTAATGTAACACTTAACAATTAATGTGACATGTCTAGTCAACATTCTGTTAAAAATTAACTACTTAGTGATAAAAAAGAACTTATTCAAATGTTAATGACTAAATTAAAAATATTAATAATTTGATGATCATTTTAAAAAGATTCATATAGTTAAGTGACTATTCATGTATTTTACCTTACAATTTTTTTTTGTTACATCAAGAAAGTAAAACACTAGTACAAGTAAAAGAAAGATAGGAGATTTGGTTCAAAACTAGGCTCTTAATGTTCTCTGAAACGCTTTTAACCACTAAGCCAAATGTTTAAGGACTTATTCTATAATTTATCATAAGGAAATAATGCATATGTGATTGCTCATGGACAAGTCTGATTTTTAAATAGATTTTATAATTTTAAACAAATATTTTCAATACATTTAATAATTCAAAATAACTATTTTTCTTGTCCTTTTTAGGTAGGTGTTGTTCATTTAATCCCTGAATAGATAAAAATTTTCTATTACTCTCAAACCTTTTATCTTTGTATCATTTGAATCATAAATATTTTTAATTAATGGTTTTATTTTGAACTTCAACTATATTGTAACTTATGTAATAACTTACGTGGCATCATACATGATATTACATTTTATATGACCATTTTTCTTAGTTGTTATGATATTACATTCCATATGACCATTTTTCTTAGTTGTTATGAAAAATACGATAAAAAAATCAAAATAAATAATTTTGAGAGATTGAAGACCTAAACAAAATAATTTAAAAGTTAATGATTAAAATAAAATCCAAATAAAACCTTAAGAATCATGGTTGAAATTATCCATGTGAATAATAATATTTGTAAATTACTTTCGATAGAATTTTAGATGATATTCTATCATTGAGGTTATCAATGAAATTTCAATAAAAAACACTATTCTGTACTAAAAATTAGGGAATACAAGAATTGAAATAAAGTGTAATTTAACAAAATAATAAAATATTAAAATAGAAGTAATTAATGTGTAAAAATATTTATGAATTGAGTCGAATAAAACTTTGAACAAAGTTTTCTTACAGTCTAATCTAACTCATAAGCAAATTTATTATTGGATATTTACGTTTATATGTATGCATTAAAATAAGTATATTTCCTTTAAAATTGATAAGTTTTTGGATAAGTTTGTAGTTTACAAGTACATGAAAAAGACTTCAAATTTAATTCCAAAAGGTGTTTTACATGTGTAATGTGTGCTACTCATTTATTATTAATTTGAAAAAAAAAATACTCCTCTCCTAAAAGAGAAAATGATTGATTCTCTTTTATATTTGGAAAAATAGAAAATGTAACGTAAAACAATAAATTCATTTGATGGATTAAACAAAACATTTTTTGTCTAATTAACTATTATTACTACTTGCTAATCTGAGAGACAGAAGTAAAACTTGGAGGGAGCTGAAGGTGTGCCAGCCAAACCCCTTGTTATTGCCTACGCCACGCTTTCATCTTCTTCTTATTCTTCTTCCTTACTCAGATCCTAAATCTCCAAAACCCCATTTCCTTCTGTATTTTTTTTTTCTTTTAGTTTCCCTCATGTAAACAAGCCCTTTCTTTCAATTGGTCCTCTTCCTCCAGATTTTCAGGTAGAGTTTCTTCTCTTTCCTTTTTCTTTTTCTCTGTTGTTTTTTTTACAATCCTGGTTTTTTCTATAGTTGGCAGTCCTTTTGTTGGCTTTCTTTGCTTGACCTGCTTTGTCCTTAATCCTAGTTTGGAAGCTTCTGTTTGCATTTTTCAATCCAAATCATCATCTGGGTCATCTTCTAAATTTACATTCATTGTTGTATTTTTTTTTTTCCAATTTCTGCTTCGGTTTAGTAGATACTTAGTTTGGGTATTTTCATAAATACTAATTTTCATCATATATGTATATGAAAGTAGATAGTTCGGATTGTTTTTTATTTTCATGGTTTTTCATTTCTTTTTTGATTGCTTCTGTGATTTTTTGGTATTGCTTGGAGGGTTTAAGGTGTTAATGGTTATTTGGAATTGGTTTTTTAGGAACTAATAATGGGGAAAAGGGTTAAGAGGAATCGTCGAGTGCCTCCTAAGGAGAAAAACGTTGTGGCAGCCCATTCTCCAAAAATTATACCTAAGGAGAAAAATGCTAGTGTCGAAAATGTTGATGATGGAGTCACAGTCGTAAAAGAGAGGAAATCATGCCCCCATTTCGAGAAAGGTATTGACGTGGATAAATTGTTGACTAAACTTAGGTCCTCGGAGCCTATTAGATGTGAAGATTGCAGGGAAGGGGGGAATGATAGGAGAGGAGGTAAGGGAAAGGGTAAACATGGGAAGAAGAAAGGAAGTGCTTCAGTTGATTCCAAATCTGAGTTAAAAGCAATTTGGGTTTGTTTGGAATGTGGACATTATATGTGTGCTGGAGTTGGTTTGCCAACCGCTTCTACCACCCATGCTGTTTACCATCGTAGACAAACCCGTCACCATATGGTGATTCAGTGGGATAATCCTCAATTGAGGTGGTGCTTTGCTTGCAACACATTCATTCCTGTTGAGAAAACAGAAGAAAATGGTGAAAGAAAAGATGTTTTACATGAGGTTGTAAAATTGATTAAGGAACGATCGTCTGAACCATCATCAGCAGCTGATGTTGAGGATGTTTGGTTTGGAACTGGCAGTGTTACAAGTGCAATCAAATCAGCAGGAACTCTATCGAATTCTTTGGATGGAAAAAATGGCTATGTGGTTCGGGGTTTGGTTAATCTTGGGAATACATGCTTCTTTAATTCAGTAATGCAGAATCTTCTTTCTCTTCATAGGCTAAGGGACTACTTCTTGAATCTTAATGCATCCATGGGGCAGCTAACTATTTCTTTGAAAAAGCTTTTTGCTGAAACAGGCCTGGAGATGGGTTTGAAAAATCCTATCAATCCAAAACCCTTTTTTGGGTCCATCTGTGCTAAGGCTCCCCAGTTTAGGGGCTCTCAGCAACATGATAGTCATGAGTTGCTTCGTTGCTTGCTTGATGGGCTTTATATGGAAGAGTTGGCTCTGAAAAAACACATTAATGCTTCTAAAAATGATGTAGTTTCAACAAATCAGGATCTTACTTTTGTGGATGCTGTATTTGGTGGTCAAATTTCAAGTACTCTCTGTTGTAAGGAATGTGGGCACTCCTCAACAGTGTATGAACCTTTTTTAGATCTCTCGCTTTCAGTTCCAACTAAGAAAACACCATCTAAAATGGCTCAACCAGTCTCTCGAGCAAAGAAAACTAAGCTGCCACCAAAAAAAGTTGGCAGGGCTCGAGGAAAAGTTAACAAAGATGCAGATCAGGCACCAGTTGATGGTGTTACGACTCCATTGGCAGGCAGTGAATCTCCAGGCCTAGGACATATAGCTGCACCTCAAATAGAAACCGTATTGGCATCTTCTGGTGATTCTTTGCTATCAAGTGCTGTTGGCCCAAGTAGCGAGGCCAATGAAATCAGTTATGCTTCACAGAATCTCTTAGAAGTTGCAGAGTCTCAAAATGAGCAAGTAATGGAGAATACAATGCAGGAAAATGCAGCTGGGGCAGATGATTTTGCTTGGATGGATTACCTCGTAATGGCAGATACACCCCAGGAAGATGCTGCTGGGGCAGATGATTATACTTGGATGGATTACCTTGAACAAGGAATTGTAGCTGATGAGAATGATTTTGTTTCCCAAAGTAACGACATCTCTCTTATCCAGGATTCCGAGGACAAGGATTTGGTTCTGAATGAAGCTTTAGGTGAAAGTCGTCGGGTTTCTTTAATCAAGGGGGAACCAATTCAAGGACCATATGATTCTTCTAGAAACCTTCAAGAAGAGGAGCTTCCTTTGCTGGTTCAAGATTCTGAGATTCTGTTGCTTCCTTACAAAGAAGAAAGTACTGGTACTGAGGGGAGTGTTAGAGAAAATGAGGCATCTTCATCAAATGCATGTCATGGACAAGAGGAAGTGGAGTTTGATGGCTTTGGTGACATGTTTAATGAGCCTGAAATTACTGCAGGGCCCAGCATTGGGCCCTCTTTGGCAAATGAAGTTGCTGAAACTGGTTTTTTGGCTGGGAATATCAGTGATTCTGATCCTGATGAGGTTGATGATAGTGATTCTCCAGTATCCATAGAGAGCTGTTTGGCTCACTTCATAAAGCCAGAGGTTCTTTCTGATGATAATGCTTGGAATTGTGAGAATTGTGCAAAATTTTTGTTAAGTCAGGAGTTGAAAGTGAAGAAGCAAATTAAAATGACAAAGAATTTAATCAGTGGTGGTGAGACTCAAAGCCAATATGAACCACCAAGTTTAGATAGAGAACTTCCCTGTCCTGACGGAATTAGAACCATCAGTAATGGCGAAAGCTTGGTTTTACATAATGAGATAACTGATTCTTTCAATCAAAATTGTATAAAAGTTGAAAATGGTCAAACAGGTGAGCTAAATTCAGTTGTATCTAAATGTGAAGAAGGGAAATCTCAAATAGAAGATGCAAGTCTGATGAAATCAAATTCTTCAGTCTCCTCTAAATATTGTGTTCAAGAACAATCTGGGGGTATCCAACCTGTTGATTCTTGCAATGTTGAAAATCATAGTGGTAATGATAAATTTCAGCAGAGTAATTCACATATGGCTGAAAACTGTCAATCAAGGGAAAGTGATGATGAAGAGATAGACTCTAAAAACGTGAAGGTGAAGAGAAATGCAACAAAGAGGGTCCTCATAAACAAGGCACCGCCTATTCTGACTATTCATTTGAAGAGGTTCAGTCAAGATGTTCGTGGTCGCTTAAGCAAATTGAATGGCCATGTCAATTTCAGCGAAACAATCGATCTTAGACCATATGTGGATCCCAGGTACCTTTCCATATGTCTTAAAGTTCAAGCCTTGCTTCTTGTCGAGTTTGTTCTCTTTTGCTTCCTTTTTCTTCTAACCTCTCTTATAGTTAAATTCTTGTATTTTAGTGACCTCTTTTATTCTTTTCATTTCCGTTGTTTCAATCTGTTTTGATTTGCAAATAGCTGGTAGTATTTACTTTTAGTCTCTGCAGTTTTATACTCTTGATTAATGTATTTCCTGCTTGTTAATACATGATTTCCCAGAAAATTTATGAAACAGACCCTTGTAGCAGAGTTTATTATATAGGAATGATGAACTGTCTGGTGTTTAAGATGGCGAGAAACAATTCTACGGCATTTATAAAGCAAATGCAAGATCTCTATAGAACATAATTTTAGGAATATCTTATAGTTAATATTTGGATTGTTTAAATTATTGTTTCCCCTGTTGTTGGATGTCATTATTTTCTTGCATTCATTTGTCCGTTTTTATAGAATGCTTTGTCTGTTTCTGTGAGTAAGTTAAAAGAGAATTGAACAGGAAGTAAGTTAAAAGGGTGAATTTGGAAAATGGAATAGGATGGTTTGACCAAGAAAAGGATAAACTTTGCAATATCCTATTTTGACCTTGTTACCTGAATGGGATGGTTTATTTCATTAAAGTGGTATGAGCTATTGTTAGAAAAAGCTGATATCTTTTGTTCTTGCAGCTTCTTTTATCCCTTTATTGTGTGTCAGCTCAACTTTATTCACTTATGTGGCTTTTAAAAGTGAAAGGTGGGCTATTTATCCATTCGATTAATTTTGTTAAGAGTTAATGTTGTAAGAATGCCAACACAAGCCTATAACAGTATCATAACCTAGCTGGGAATTGGATGTGCCAGCCTTTCTCTTCAGCTTCTAAGCATCTGTGTGATATTACAAAGGTTCAGCTTAATAATGGTGATCATAACATACTAACTGGTAATTGGACATTTATGGTGAGGGTTATGGTTTTGTAACTGAGTTGGACAAAATTTCAAGATGCTCAGGATAAATTCTTTAAATTCTAATATTTTCCCCTTGAAGTACTATCCTTTTACCACTGAACATTGTCTGTAGCAATTGCACTACTGAGCTATATTATGGATGGCAGACATAATGATTTGGCCCCAAAGTGAGTGGCTGAGATGGTCCAAACTCTTATAAACATTGAGAGGTCTAGAATAGTGGCCAGAGATTTTGTTTTAGATGAAGTTCAAAAGAAGAAATCAGGGGACCTATCCTAGCTAGTGATGTTTCAAAATATCTGCCTTTTTAAATTTCTGTTGGGGAACATGTAAAAAAATACTTTTTCTTTGTAATCTACTTATTCACTACACACTCTCATGCACCTCCTTAGCTGTTTTTCAGTATGTGGCTCTCTTGATCACCTACTTTATTTTGATCTCTGTGTCTGTTTGCATGAGCTCACTATAACGTGTCTGTACGCATGTACATGTTTCCGGGCATTTGTGCATGTATTTGGATATTGAAGTCCTTGGTACTTTGCTACAGATGGTACATTAATACATAATAGTCCATCATCATTCCTATGGCTTTCCACGCAAGAGTTCGAAAATTTCAAGGAACCTCTTTATTTATCTAATATATGTTTTAGTTTTGAAACCACCATTCATTATATTATCATTCTAAGGAACCTGGGATGGTTTTATATGTACTTGATATAACAAGTTTTATTGGAGATTTTACATTATATAACTAGTACATTACACTTTATTGCTTATGCGTCCAGTTCTCTCGGTCTCATTACCTTTTCATAAGGCAGCTAGAACCCCTTGCAAAGTGATTTTAAGGGAAAGAAATGGTGTTTTCTTGGAATGAAATAGTTGAATAGTTGAATTACTTTTTCCGTCTGGCTATCTATTGTATGCCATGAAATAGTTGAATTCTTAATAATGTTCCTAGCAAGAATTATTTTGGTTGTAATTGCATACAAACCAGTGCGTCTCAAGCAAATGTTGAAATATTATTATGATAAGTTCTTTAAGTTCTGTCAATTTTGTCAGTAGAGTGTGAAATGATATAAACACATATTGTCTATTAAATCTGTTGTTAGTTAAAATATGAGTCTATACTAATGAAAAACATTACAAACAACAAGAAAAAAAAAGCATTGATTTTATGTGATTTACAAACATGTTTAAAATTTGCAGGTCTGAAGACAAAGATAATTGTATTTACCGTCTGGTGGGGGTTGTGGAGCATTTGGGAACAATGAGATGGGGCCACTACATTGCATATGTGAGAGGAGGTGAGGAGAGGAAAGAAAAGGCCGAGATTGGACATGTCAGTTCTCTGTGGTATTATGCGAGTGATCTTTGTGTGCGCCAAGTATCACTTGAAGAAGTTCTTCGCAGAGAGGCATACATTTTATTCTATGAAAAAATTTGAGCGAAAGGTTTTGTTCCATGCTTGTTCTGTTTCTTGTGACACCAGGGTGCCTGGTAAAGTTAGTACCACAACCCCAGAGGAGAGAGGCACAGATACCTGAAAGGAAGAGGTGAGTGTACAACAACAATTACCATATATTGATACCCATTTTTGACATGTAATAAGTTCTAAGATGTATACCATGAAATTATATCCTCAGAAAAGCTTCGGTATTCTTTTTTATTTGGTCCTATCGCCTTGAGAGCTCATTTCCTATTAATTGAGGTTATTTTTATAGGAATTTACGTGTCAAAGGCATTAAATTGATTGTTTTGCAGATGAATATTTTTAGTCATTCATCTTATGGATATTCTGTGTAGGGCTTTGTTTCCTATTTGTGGTGAAGCTGGGGCTAACCTTTTGCATAACAGTTGGAAAATATGAGCTTGGATTGAAGTTCATGATCCTATGACAACATTTGCTCATTAATGTGGCTATCCTATAGTGTCACCTACTTTTTTAAACCTGTTTTTTTGGAGGAATATTCCCTACTAAACTATTAAATTATTATGTACATGTATAGTAATATTTTGAGTTTTCTACCAACTGGAGTGATAGATGGATCAAAATTGTGCTGGATTAATCAAACTGAATGGCTTAATAATAGTTTGGATTTTCATTTTGGCCAATGTTTGGCTACAATTTGAAAGAAGACATCAACCGGGTGAAAACTGTGCGAGAGAATCCAGTTCTTTCAGAATTAACAGCTGTAAATTATAATGTACCGAGGACAACTGAGAAGAATCCAATACCACTTTCAAAAGAAATGGGTAATTTTGTAAATCCATTCTTGAGAACTAAGATCTAAAACAGGGAATGGTACAATAATTTTATTTCTCTTTTCCTTTTCGGCCAATAAGGCCAATTATCAACCCATGAAAGTACCCCCACACCATATAGCATAAATATAACCACAATAAAAACAAAAAAAAAAGGGGGGGAAAAGAAAAGCAGAAAAGAAGAGAAAGGGCTCTTCCCCCCTCCCTCTCTTTCCTCTATCTCTGTCTTGCTTTACCAACTTAAACTCTTCTCCATGGCAGTACCAGTCTTAAAGCTGGTATTGTTCATCCTCTCCTTGCTAGTAAACAGCTTCTTGGTTGTTCAAGGAACAAGCTGGTGTGTGGCCAGAAGTGATGCAAGTAACCAAGCTCTGCAAACTTCACTGGACTATGCATGTGGCTCTGGTGCTGACTGCAGCCCTATTCTGTCAAATGGGCTTTGTTTTCTTCCAAACACTATCCTGGCTCATGCCTCTTATGCTTTCAATAGCTACTACCAACGTAGGGCCATGGCACCTGGTTCCTGTGACTTTGCTGGCACTGCCACTGTTGCTAAAACTGATCCCAGTTTGTTCCTTCTCCTTCAACTTCCTTTTCCTTTTTATTGGTTGGTTTTTACGACAGGGTTTTTGCTTATTTTATAATATTTTCCTCTTTTTTTTATATATAGGTTATGGATCTTGTATGTACCCATCTTCTCAAAGGTATGCATTTTTTTTCTCTTACATTATTAAAAAGCTGTCTTTAAAACTTATTATGTGTAAAAATAAACTTGGGATTCTACTATTTTCATCACAAGTACATTGCATTCTTTTGCTTTTTCCTTTTTTTTTTTAACAAGGTAGCTTTAGAAAGATTTTGTTCTATTTTCTTCAGCTTCAAGCATTCTCTTGATTTTTTTTTTTATACAGTCACTAGTACTAGTAATAGTAACATAATTCGATGCCTATGATTCTTGAGGAAGAGTGAGCTTCTCTGATGATGCTCTAATTTGATAGATGCATGACACGTGTCTATATGCCTGGCATCTTGATCTCTAACCGTTCAGTTTTTTCCTGATGACAGTCGTGACTTTGTGCATGTCAGTTTTACTAGGCTTATGTCTCTTGTGCTCTTCTTTAACGCCTTGGCTTTCTCACTTTGTAGTGTTTTACTTATGTAATGTTTTGATGGAACGAGCTCATTTTTTTTAACCGTTGGATGATACTCTTTGTTCAAGGACATCCAACGGACTAGATACTCCAGATACGGGCATACTGTGGTTATCCGTGACTGTATGTTTATCTGTGTCTGCGGTATTGAATTAGTGATGCAAATATGCTTAGTTTTTGTCTAGCAAGAGATGGCTTGAGTCTTGAAAATATATTATTTACTATTAGGGGGGTTAGGTTCTCGGATTTTAATTTTAATTTTTTCTTCTCAAATTTAACTTTTTGTCATTTTATTTTTAAATTTGGTTGGATTTTTTTTTTTTTTTTTGCATCAAGAATTTTATATTTTCAATAGTGACAAAAAAGAAAAAAAAAAGTAAGAGATTCAAAATTTTTTTTATCCCTAATTTTTTTTTCAGATTTCAAAGGGAAAGTAAAATTTTTATCTCATTTATCTTCACTTAATTGTGTCTTTGGATTATATAGATAATGTTATTTTCCTCATAAACATAGTAATTTTTTTATAAAATATTATAAAAATAAATTTCTTTAATATATTTTAAACAAAAATCATGTCTTTTAGATTAAAAGCATGATCTTCGTTATATTTTCAACAACTTTATCGCAAAGGTCGATTTGCATATTTTTTTATGTAGAGACAATCAATCTCAGAATAGTGATTAGGCTTTGCATGATATAACAACATTTTGAAAATATTTAACTAAATATATAAATAATTTATAATAAAAAATCCCATAAAATATTAAACAAATAAGTTATTTTTATATTTTCATATTTTTCATATGTTATTAATGTGTTATCAAAGATTATAATATAAATGATTTTATTAGATAATATTAAAATTTTCTAACCAAATACAAAAATGGTTTTACATTTGCTAAGGTAAGAAACCTTAGGAAGTTCCCAATTGTCATATTGGTTTTTTGTTACTATAATAATTTGATTTTTTTTTTTTTAATTTTCCTTGAAATACTCTGTGTCTGTTAAGGTCTTGCGTCTATTTCATTAAATGATGAGGTCTTCTCACCACATTGTTCCACTTTACATATCCCTTAAAGCTAGGATAAACAAAATGCTATGCACATTTTGAACCCATAAGAGTATAATAGCCCATTTGGTACAATGGAGAGCTATGGTGGGAGAGCTCCTCATCGCATTGCATACTTAATTTTTGAATTCATTAAGGAGCTCTCTCCACCAGACCATCCTATTGTACCAAATGAGGCCTAAATATAGTTAGATTGTACAATCTAAGGTATCCATATAATATGCACATATTAGAAGGTTGAGTTTTGACGAGTTATTGGTTGCGTCTTTGAGCTTTAGGTTGCAAGATTCTTTTTTAAGTAAAAAAAAATGTATTTTATGTTATAAAATTCCAAGAAAATGTTAAAACACTTATTAATCTTAGCTATCCATGCGCTACTTACACTAACGTTTATGTATGTATTGCTAAAATGGTTAGGATCACAATAGACGATAGTCCTTAACAAATTAGACAATACTTCTTAACAACTTCTTGGAGCTCTGGCAATATATATTGAAGGGAAAAAATGTAACTAAAGTTGTAAACTTCTTAAGAAATGGCAATGCCCTTTGTTGAAGGGGAGGAAATGCAAATGGCATCACACTCCATTCAATGAAGTAAATAGGCGTTTCAGAAAGCATAACATAATCTTACATAATTTACAATTTGTTATGGATGGGATGGCTTTGTTTACTAGGAGGGGAGAGGGTTAAAATCCAATTGGACTTTAATGGTCCAGTCCTAATTCCAACCCTTCATCACAATCACCCTTTCCAGTTATTTCCAATATATTTGTCACTTTTTTTTGTCATTATAGTGCAAGGATGAAATTGTCTCTGCCCCTAACAATTTATTATATATTATATTAAATTAAAAAGTTATTCAAAAATTTTAAAATGAAAAATAAAAAAAAAAAAGAAAAAAGAAAGTTAAATGGGTGAGATATTTTCCTCCTGCTACTATAATCCCAAAGATAAAAAGGAAAAAATGGAGGATATGGGCATAATTGAAAAGAAAGGCTATGGTGCGAAGAGGGTTTTGGATTGTGGGATTTTAGGCCATATGTGGTTGTTAATGGTCGAATCGCATTGGTCTTACCCGTATGGTGGAGGCCTTCAACTGGCCTAAATTAGAGCTAAACGTCCATCCAAATGAGGCCCTGATGAGTAAATGTTTCTAGATGAGTAGAAAATTGCTTGTATTAATAGTTTAAGTTTCATATTCCAATAAGTACTCTGCCCAAAGGAAGGAGACGAAGCAAGCTTTTTCTTCCCTTATCGGCTTAACGATTAGTGGGAAAGGATCCTCTCTGCTATTAAAAAATAATGGATGTTTTTACTGTTTTTATCACAAAACAACACATAGTAAAAGCAGTGGAAATCTTTACTATTTTTTTAATAACAGAAAGGATTCTTCTATGACTCAACTAGGATGACCATACTTGGACAATTATCCAATTTGAGGACTAATCATTTTACTACCTCAACTCATAGTCCTAAGGTTTGGTATTTAATTCATGGTGACTGCATTTACTCTTATCGATGTTAGGGCCATCAGTGAGGCCAAGGTTAGGTCCATTAAATCCAAGTTATCTTCTGTGTGGTTTCTGAATGATAACCACGCAAATTTTTTTTTTTTAAGGTCAAGGTTTGGTGTTCTTTTGATGAGGTATAAGGCTGCTAACCAAAGGACTTTTAAGGCTATGGGAATGTGGTAAAGCATGGCATCAAGAATCCAGTATAGCTCTTGCCTGCGCCACTAGGCTCAAAGCATGTCCATTAGTGGCTTGAAATAGAATAGCCCCACTAAGCAGTTGATTGTAATTTGCTGTATGGAAATAAAAAATATATATATTAAATATTCCTGTAATCAACTCAAACAGTGTGGATTGTCGGATATTTAATACAAATATATATATCGAACAAGTGAAAGGCTGAACTCTCAGCCTGCCATATCACCGCTTTCGCCTGCCCATTGTAGAGTCCGAATATGTATGTTGTTCAGTTCTTTATACTTTTTCTCCTTTTTTTTTTTTTTTTTGGTTTGTTTTAAACCGTTTGATTGCTTCCGGTCTTTGTAAATGGGTGGAATGCCTTTTTTGCTATTTGTTATTTATTTGGTTTTTTTCCAACTCATTTCTCTACATCGTATGTTAGTGGTTTTCTTATTTCTTTTTGTATGTTTCAATATTTCTATCATTTGCTTCACTTTTCAAGAATGCTTTTTCATTTTTTATGTGAATTTGGAAGGATAGGCACTACTACTTTATTAGAAAATGGGCAACTTGGGAAATTTTTCTTAAGATGGTACTGGTGGTCCACCAAAGACTACTTTTGGACTAGTTTTTCTTTTTATTCCCCCTCTTTATGGTAGTAAAAATAAAACAGAAACATTTTACAATTCTTTTTCCCACAAGCATGGTCCTACATGGTCCTATCTTAGGACAATTAGTTGATCTTAGTTTAGACTACTGAAAGCTCTTAGACAAACTTTGATTGGATTTTGATTGAGCTAAGTCATGTGTTGTTGTTTACCGTAACTTTGGTCAGGTTGGTCCATCTTGCTAGGCAAAGCTCACTTGTCTAAACTCTAATTTGATCTTTCAACAGTTCTGGATTTTGACAAACACCAACCAAATTGGTTTTGTGTAAGCTTGACTGGATTTGATCAGATGATTCTTACCAATTTTATAACACTTCTATGCTGCCCTATCATTATTTGTAGTTCTTGTCTCCGCTCTTTGTGCGATTAAACAGCTTGAGTTGTTAAATTTCCAGCACAGCCGGAGGGATAGCTACACCAACAACAGTGACAGGCAACCCCAATGTACCGACAACTACGGGAACTACACCAGTCAATGGCGGCAATGGCAGTACTGGACAAAATAACCCTGGAATGACCCCTCCAATACCCACAACAGATGATTCTAAAGCTCCATTGGATTGTATAATCGCCATAAGCTCAATCTCAGTTATGCTCTTACTTGTTCTATCATTTATTTTGCACCCCATATGGATCTTTTAAGAGATGCAT